TAAAACAGAAATTAAGACATCAAGTTAACTTATTACTCAGACAACTTCTGGCGAAGGCGCGTGCGTAGACAACATAAGTTTTCGTTTTAAAATGCAAATATTATTGTCAACAAAATATGAACACACTCCCGATCAGTTGGAAAAAATTCAGGAATTACGCGATTTAGTGGAAAGTGAGTGAATTAAACCACCAAGGCGAATAAAAAAGGACAGTGAATAAGAGGCAGTTGATCTTACAAAAAATGCCAATTTAGGCAATTGAAATGATGAAATATAACTTCGTCTTCGTTTCTTATAAATGTGTATGGGTCATTCGATACAAAATTTACACCTCACCTGCACTGGCCCTACAATTACCTAATTTTACAAGCTTTTATTTATTTTGCTCATCTCGCAAGACAACGAAAATGACAATCAATTAATGTAGTTATATAGATAATTAGATACCATTCGGTAAAAATTTCGCTGGCAGTAATTTCTACATGGTAAGTGCTCCTCCATTATTTGGTTTCATAGGGATTCGGATACCTTCCTCATTGAAGTAGTAAAGAAAATTCGCTTAAGTGCATTTTTCGGTTAAGTGCACAGGTTTTTCGTGCAAAGAAAGATGGGCAGCTAAGCAAAATATACTGTACATGGAAAACTTTGGGCGCTTTGAGCGACCACTAAATATTTTTTGATTTCAAAATAAAAAATAAAGGTATATTTTTTTCGGTATAGAACAATCCTAGGGGATGAGAGCATAAAAATTTCGACTTTACCTTTTCACATGCATTTTGGACTACCCTAGTGAACATACATACATATGCACGGACATATGCACTTGTATGCCTGCATATACTATAGTATGCATATTCGTCATAATATTACATTATAATTAAAGAGCTGTAAGCAAATAAATTAAAACAAAAAAAAAATATTTTAATGGATTTTAAACCCTGACCTGGGCCTCTTCGAGCTAAAACCAATTTATGCACATACATATGCACATAAATGTATGTGTGAATGTGTGGGCACAAACTACGACTTAGTATAACTGTGACTGCGAATGCTAGAGTTCTCACGACGGAGACGATGACGATTTGTAGCCTCAACGTGACATGCACACTAAATAGTCAAACCAAAATTATTATTGTATGTTGGCCACATTATACCTACATACGTACTGTTAGCACGGTTGTTTTGTATTTTTTAGTTTTACCTTTCTGACTGCTTTGTAACAATTTACTTACTGCACATGCGTATAAACAAAAACAAATTCAAAAAAATTAGATAAACATTTAATAACAACTGGGTTTTTACCTAGTAAAAGTGACAAGTTTTCCAATTCTCGTGTTTTGTATGCAAATGCAGTAGGAACTATGCCATTGAAAAAAAGACTCCAGAAAATATTAGTTTTGTTTTAGGAAATACATTTGCTAATAATAATAATATTATGGTGCCTACACTTTTGCTAAGTGTTTGCCAAGCATTNAAACAAATTCAAAAAAATTAGATAAACATTTAATAACAACTGGGTTTTTAACTAGTAAAAGTGACAAGTTTTCCAATTCTCGTGTTTTGTATGCAAATGCAGTAGGAACTATGCCATTGAAAATAAGACTCCAGAAAATATTAGTTTTGTTTTAGGAAATACATTTGCTAATAATAATAATATTATGGTGCCTACACTTTTGCTAAGTGTTTGCCAAGCTTCTGCTTTGATTTGTGGAGTGCGTCTTGACGTTGTTACATATGTAAATGGTGGGGTCTGGCCTACAATTTAACTCAGTCTCCTAACGGCAAATGGATTTTATGGGCTTTTTCATGGCAGAGATGGCAGGTTAGAAGAAACTGTTTCTAACTTATGTACATGATGCCCGGATAACGGATCGAACCCAGGTCACACCGGGTGGCCGACATTTGTTACTACATACATACATATATATGTATGTACAAAGCTACTATGGGATACAAAAAATATCTAGATCTTATATGAACGTGCATATTTCAAAGCAAAAAAACCTACACATGCAGATCGACCTATCTCGGTAGGTAGTTTTCAAGAACGCCCTACTTCAGAATTCGGTTCAAAAACGGCCTATCTTAAAGCAAAATACATAGAAAATATTCTGAGATGTTTTAATGAAATTCCGAAATAGGGCTTTGTTGAAAAATTTGCTGAGATAGGGCGTTTACGAACTGGCTGCCGAGTTAGGTTGATCTTCCACTCAGCCATCGATATGTATGTATATGTATCACTGATGCTAACTCATTTTATCACTCTCCCCGATGGCCACCACGAAATTCCCCGATTTTCGGTGAAATTCCCCGCACAAGCATGACTCCATTAAAAAAAAAAAACTTAAATTTTTTAATGCAATTGCTTGAATTTATTTACGAATTGCATACCTACAATATTTAAATTTTAAATTTTTTCACTCACAGAGTATTACATGCGCTATATAAGTCGAAGTAAAAAACACTTTGTGCAAAACTGACAAAAATTCAACACATTTCAAAAAAAAATCAACATTTTTAACTTTTTACTCGTAATTTTCAGAAGCCAATTTAAGGGTATTATTACTATTTAATTTATTTTTTTATTTTATTTATGGCTTTAATTTAAGCCTAAGTAGAAGGTTCTATCATCTTCTGTTTTTTTGCTGGACCTTCTAAAATATTTCAAAAAACGCGATTTTCTTGACACTTTGACCTAGTTTTTCTCAAAATCTGGAGCTGATGGAAACCTTATACTTATGGATTCGTAATCAGCACAAAAAGTCTTTCACAAACAGCTTTAACATTTGTCGCAACAAAATCACTGTTACCTTGTGTAATTGCATTACTTAATATGTANCAAAATCTGGAGCTGATGGAAACCTTATACTTATGGATTCGTAATCAGCAAAAAAGTCTTTCACAAACAGCTTCAACATTTGCCGCAACAAAATCACTGTTACCTTGTGTAATTGCATTACTTAATATGTCTGTATATATAAATGAATGTAAGTAAAATTAAAAACATCAACGTTTTTACAGTGTTTCTAATGCGAAATCGGCAGAGTTGCAATTGTGACTAAAAATAAAATTTTACAAAAAATATACTGCACTCAGGTAAGTTATTTAATTATTTAAAATTAAATATTTAATCTAAATTCCTTGCAAAAGGCAGCTATTTCCCGATTCCCCGCATCGAGACAAATTGCCCGCAAATTGGGGAATTGCCCGCAAGTTGGCATCCCTGATATGTACAGATGCGTGCAACTAATTAACAACGTACCAACAATACCCAACACCCAAATTCGAAATTTTTACTAAACTCCCCTGTTTGGAAAGTATACTTAGATTAAGCTGTCAAAAATTTCCATAAAGTTCCCTCATTCTGAAAAAATTGCAGCTTTTATGCAAATTTGACTAATGCGATGGTGCATTTAATTAGCAACGCGAGTTAAATTCTTCAGAGTTTTGCGAGTTAATTGAATTGCGGTAAGAGTCTTTTTATATTTTTACTAAAATAGTTTATTTACAATGAACTTAATAGTTTTATTTGAAAAACAAATGGGTAAGCGCAAATCGTGTAGCGAGGAAACTAGGGCTATTATCGTGCAGGGCGCGGTAGTGCGCAGAAGTCCCTCCCCTTGTGTGACAACATCAATGCGCACGCCACAAATAGGAAGAGAAGCCCAGCCACGCACTAACAAATGTGTTAGCACTAATCTTATATTATTATTATTATAGTCGCAAAGAATCTCCAAATTTGTTTACTTTGGCCATGAAGTATTTTTGCGAACCACCTTCCTCAGTGAACTCAAAACGAGTGTATAGTGCATCGGGTAGCATTTATGTTGAAAATAGAAATGGGTTCTTGACCGATAATGCGGAAATGCTTCTTTTCATAATGAAAAATTTATAAATTTTTAACTCCTAATTACTAACTAGATACGAATAAATTTGATTAAACAATTTAAAAAAAAAAATCTGAACTAGATTTTTAAATTGAATCTTCTATAATTGAAATTCGGAAATCCGGCCGGTTAGTCGGATAACTGAAAAAAGGCCGGATAAGCCGGATTCCGGATACCCCCGGCACATCGCTAAAAAAATATGATTATTCCTTATAAGTAATGTACGTATGTATGTATATGTATACCTGACACCTGAGGTATGAACATACATACATACATATGTATGTATATATGTGCCATAGTAATAATGAGAAAACATTTAAATAAGTGCATGATATTTTCGTTTGTTTGTTATTTTTTGTGGACAATTTACTAACTAACTAACCTAACTTTCGTTCTATACAAGTGCACAACTGATTTAACTCCAAACCAAGTCAAAGTTTACGAAACGATCAAAGTCCGAGAAAGTGAACATGGCCAATTCTCAGTATCCACCTGGGTAATGATTGGATGCAAGATGTGCGAAAAAGTTTTCATAAATTATTTAATTTGTCATACAATTAGCAATTAGAAGCATTTAAGTTAAAAAGAGAATACGCAAAATTGTTCCTGTAAAGGTAAATTTAAGTAGTTCACTCTACGATCGGTCATTTGATAATATACATACCGCACACGATCATCAAAAGTACGCAACCTTTCAGCAAAAGCTGGCGCAAATTTTTGCATTTGGTAAGAAATACATTTTTCGCATTTTCTGACAATCGTGTAATTTTAAGTTGTGTCACTTTTGAAGATCGATCGTGTGCGATATTTAGATTATTTATTCATGAAGACAGAACTACATATAGCGAAACAATTGATAGTTAAATTAATCGTAATTTTTTCATATTATGTATAACAATTTTTGAACGAATTTGCCGGAAGGTGATTTAAAAAATATCAACGAAATGAACACACATACATAAAATAAAACCCTGCAGCATTAATTGTTATATTTCTGCCACCATAACACAACTTAAACTTTGCCTTGTAGCGCCGCCCTTGTAACCACTTTGCTGTCGTAAAATTTTGCGTGTATGAGACACATTTAATTGACGATTGAAACATCAACGACGAGCGTCGCCGGACGACGACGGCGGCAAGCATACAAAACATAAAACAGAAATTAAGACATCAAGTTAACTTATTACTCAGACAACTTCTGGCGAAGGCGCGTGCGTAGACAACATAAGTTTTCGTTTTAAAATGCAAATATTATTGTCAACAAAATATGAACACACTCCCGATCAGTTGGAAAAAATTCAGGAATTACGCGATTTAGTGGAAAGTGAGTGAATTAAACCACCAAGCCGAATAAAAAAAGGACAGTGAATAAGAGGCAGTTGATCTTACAAAAAATGCCAATTTAGGCAATTGAAATGATGAAATATAACTTCGTCTTCGTTTCTTATAAATGTGTATGGGTCATTCGATACAAAATTTACACCTCACACATTTTTGTTTTTTTTTTTGTGTTAAATATATTTTACATTCTTTGTCGAAAATAAGAAGACACCTATTTTTTATTTCATCATAATATTCGAAAATCTCGAAAAAAAATTCTGAAATTTTGAACTCACGAAGAAGTATTTTTTTTAAATTTGTCGCACTTAATAAATTNCCAATTTAGGCAATTGAAATGATGAAATATAACTTCGTCTTCGTTTCTTATAAATGTGTATGGGTCATTCGATACAAAATTTACACCTCACACATTTTTGTTTTTTTTTTTGTGTTAAATATATTTTACATTCTTTGTCGAAAATAAGAAGACACCTATTTTTTATTTCATCATAATATTCGAAAATCTCGAAAAAAAATTCTGAAATTTTGAACTCACGAAGAAGTATTTTTTTTTTAATTTGTCGCAGTTAATAAATGATTTGTCGGAGAAAACCAGTTAAGTAAACAAAATGTGCGTAATTACCTCGGCTTTGCATTAGAGTGTGAGACAGATTTAAATCAATAATTTTTTGCATTAAAAAATTTATTTTATTTTAATAATTTTGTATTAAATATACACTGTTTGATTTTTTTTTGCAATCTAAATAGTTGGCAAACTTTGGTTTTTCTATTCTCAGACATTTACAGTGTGCTCCATAAAGNACATTCTTTGTCGAAAATAAGAAGACACCTATTTTTTATTTCATCATAATATTCGAAAATCTCGAAAAAAAATTCTGAAATTTTGAACTCACGAAGAAGTATTTTTTTTTTAATTTGTCGCAGTTAATAAATGNATAACTTCGTCTTCGTTTCTTATAAATGTGTATGGGTCATTCGATACAAAATTTACACCTCACACATTTTTTTTTTTTTGTGTGAAATATATTTTACATTCTTTGTCGAAAATAAGAAGACACCTATTTTTTATTTCATCATAATATTCGAAAATCTCGAAAAAAAATTCTGAAATTTTGAACTCACGAAGAAGTATTTTTTTTAAATTTGTCGCACTTAATAAATTATTTGTCGGAGAAAACCAGTTAAGTAAACAAAATGTGCGTAATTACCTCGGCTTTGCATTAGAGTGTGAGACAGATTTAAATCAATAATTTTTTGCATTGAAAAATTTATTTTATTTTAATAATTTTGTATTAAATATACACTGTTTGCTTTTTTTTTTGCAATCTAAATAGTTGGCAAACTTTGGTTTTTCTATTCTCAGACATTTACAGTGTACTCCATAAACNGTATTAAATATACACTGTTTGATTTTTTTTTGCAATCTAAATAGTTGGCAAACTTTGGTTTTTCTATTCTCAGACATTTACAGTGTGCTCCATAAAGTTTGACAACTATTTAGATTGCCAAAAAAAAACACAAAAATCCTGTATATAATTAATAAAACAAGTAATTTTTAAGCAAAAAACACAAGCGACTTCCTTTATCATATAAAAATTTAGGAGTACCGTTAATTTTTTCGTGATCCAATGATCGGATGTAAACCAAATTAGTATGGGATCACCTGTGATACACTATCATTCAGATAGAATTATCGAAATCGGTTGACGTGGTCCAAAGTTATGCGGTAACACGCATAAAAAAGAAGATTCCGATGAATTGCTAGCGTTCTCCTTTTTTGAAGTCGGTTAAAAATATTCAAAAAATGCAATTTTTTCAATGCAAAAGATTATTTATTGAAATTCCAATTTCCTTCGACAAATAGTTTAGTAACTGAAAAAAATTGAAAAAAGATACTTTTTGAGTTCAGAATTTCGGCGGTTTTTTTGAGATTTTCGAATATCAAGATGATAAGGAATGTACAAAAAATATTTCAAAACAAAAAATATTGAGGTGTAATTTTTTTATGAAATGATCCTTATACTCTATATACGTGCTACATAACTTTCTACTAATGTAGTTAAACGGGCTTGTTCTCTTCACCACCTTCAAATTTAGCTTCAAATGACCTTGAAATCGGTACCGACGATGTGTTCCTAACGAAATTTCTTAGTTTCGCTAGTTGGCAGGTAAAACGTGCCTATGATGCGATTAATCGGTATTATGACTTCAAGCAGAAAAACCCCGACTGGTTGGCGAACCACCCGGTACACTACTTTCGTGACCATATCTATCAAACGCTCAGCAAGTATATAATGCCGAGGCCGGACAAGGATGGTCGTGTGATATTCGTCTCGAAAACAGGTTAGAACTGCTCGGAAATACTTAGAAATTATTTTGAATTACATGTCTTATGATTTCAGTCGATGCCTTCAAGACATTTCCTAATTACCTGTATGATATGATCGAGATGGATGACTTGATTTTCGAATCGATTTTACTACTGCCACAGGCGCAAAAATATGGCATCACTGTCATAAGCGACTTGAGTGGGTGCGTACATACATACATATGTACATAAAAATGTGTTTTAATTTCTAGGCCGAACATCATTTATTACTAAAATTTATCTTTATAAATTAGGGAGTAAAAATGTTAAGCATTAACTTTCCAAATTACAAACACAGCTATACAATTTGTTTGTATGGATGGACTTATACATACATATGTATGTACATACAAACATATGCACAAAAACTTTGACTATTCTGCACAATTTTCGAGGTTTTCTGGGATTTTTTTTTTTAATTACAATTTGAATTAGTTTCGCAACACACACACACAT